TTCTAAATGTGGAAAATGAGGAGCAAGTACAGAATAAAAAGAAAATGTTTACGCTAAACAACAGTAAACTATCATATTCTAAAGAGGCACCTCAGAGGAAGGCAAAGGGGACTTGAAGATTGAGTTTATGGAACAACACACACACACACACACACACACACACACATACACAAACACTCTGTCTCTCTCTCTCTCTCATTCTCTCTGTTCTCTTTTTTATTTGGGAATATTTACTCCCAAAGTAAACAAAACATTTTTAAATTCATATGATAAACAGAAAAACCCTAAAGTGTACAAAATAAACAGATCCTGCTCTCTTGTCCCTTAAAGAGCTGCATCTCACCCCGATTTTTCTTCTCCCTATAACCTTACCTAGATTCCCAGTTGAGGAAATTGATGACCTAATTCCTCTCAGTTCTAATGCAACACAGGACAAATTCCAAATATCTGTGCTGGGCTTGCTGGGATTGCAGAACCCCATTGTGGTTATCTTCCTCTAGAGGTAATCCTGTGACCAGCACTAACACCACATGCCAGCCCTTTTATCAGCTTGTTGGGGAAGCATCTTTGCCTCCTGCCAGGCAGTGACCTAGATACCATCTCACACCAGTTAGAATGGCGATCATTAAAAAGTCAGGAGACAACAGATGTTGGAGAGGATGTGGAGAAATAGGAACACTTTTACACTGTTGGTGGGAGTGTAAATTAGTTCAACCATTGTGGAAGACAGTGTGGCAATTCCTTAAGGATCTGGAATCAGAAATACCATTTGACTCAGCGGTCTCATTACTGGGTATATATACCCAAAGGATTATAAATTATTCTATTATAAAGACACATGCACACGTATATGTTTATTGCAGCATTGTTTACAATAGCAAAGACTTGGAATCAACCCAAATGCCCATCAATATAGACTAAATAAAGAAAATGTGGCACATATACACCATGGAATACGATGTAGCCATAGAAAAGAATAAGTTCATGTCCTTTGCAGGGACATGGATGAAGCTGGAAACCACCATACTCAGCAAACTAACATAGGAACAGAAAACCAAATACTACATGTTCTCACTAAGTGGGAGTTGAACAATGAGAATGCATGGACACAGGAAGGAGAACCTCACATACTAGGGCGTATCAGGGGTTGGGAGGTGGGAAGGGATAGCATTAGGAGAAATACCTAATGTAGGTGAAGGGTTGATGGGTATATCAAACCACCATGGCATGTGTATACCTATGTAAGAAACCTGCACGTTCTGCACATGTATCCCAGAACTTAAAATATAATAACAAAAAAAAAGTGTAATCCAGTTTACAGTTACAAGGTCAAAGTGGGTACAATGCTATCTATCTTGGGCTAAGAAGAGAAAAGGAAATTTTTTTTCTTTGCTTTAAATCTTAGACGTCTGTTTTTTCCATGTTTTGCACCCCATTCTCTTGGACCCTCTAGATATATTCAAGTCTCACATAAGACTTGTCTTTTCTACATTATCTCAAAATTTTAGCCCTTATCCCCGAGACATATGCCTATTTTCCTCAACTTTTATATCGAATGATTAGCAAAGCAAACCTTTTTAAGTTCTCAATCTAACAATGAAACAGCAAACTAGGAATTTATTGTCATTCCTCAAACTGACATTTGATCATACAATGATCAAATTAAATGCATACATAATATCCTAGAGAATTTGCCTGCCCCATTCTTAAAAAGAAGGTAACTATTTTTAACCTATAACACTCATTTGTTTTTAAATGTCTCGGTTTTATATAACCATATATTCAAGGTCTTTATCATTCAGGATACATGAAGGTTGTGCATTTAATCTTTAGCATGGTTGTAGGAGATATGATTCACAGAGTAGAAAATAGACAAAAATAAGCATTCAGCCAGCATGGTGCCAAATCATCAGAACTCACCATCTTATCAAAAAATGGAAGTCATTCTTCTTTATTTCTTGAGCAAAGCAGTTTTAAATAAGATAAATAGCTTTCAGTCAGAATAGCCTAACATGCAATATGCATCTTTTTGACATGTATATTCTAATACGACTTTAGACCATAAGATTAAAATAAGAAAAATCTCAGGGTAATGTGTTGACAAGAAGCACTGGTTGAATCTGTATTTTTTTTTTTTTTCATTTCTCATCATCCAGAATTTGGCTCTGTGTATGTTTGTACCTTGCTGGCTATCATTAAGTGATCAACTTCTAGTGACCTTCAAGTATCATTTTCTAAAGTTTTGTACAGGGGAATAATGTCTGGGAACTGTCCTTTTTTATATCAATATCAAAAACCATTTAATGCTTTGGAGACCTTATGTTTTGTTTTCAGAGACCAAGATATAGCAGAACATGTTTCTAATTGATATAGGAAACTGAGTTATAGATATGGGAACTTGAGAAAGCCACTTAGCTGCTCGGATTTTCATCTTCCCATCTTGCAAGGAAGAATTTTGCATCGGGCGTTTTTTCTTTTTAATTATACCGGCTCTATAAATAATTTTATCATCTATGAATAATTGTTCTTTTGTTAACATAGAAAGGAGACAGATTATGAGTGAGGTGGAATGAAAAAAATTAAGGGGATGCAAGCCTTTTGCAGTGAACCCATCTTCCCTCTGTGGGTCCCTACTGGACACTGTGCATTGCTGAGAGCACAGATTTCCCAGGTTCCCAGACCCTTCTCTCCACAAACCCTGTTGACAGGCAGCCGTGGTAGCCTCTCATTTTTCACTTTCTGATACAGAAAACTGAACTAAATCACTTGAGAAAATTGGCAAAGGAGCTGAAAACTTCTATTTTCAAATATTCATTGCTTTCCTATTGACTAGTTTGCACATACGGAGGAGTTTTATAGCAGACTCGCTTTGATTAAAACTACATCTCTACACTCATCTAGCTGTTTGACTTCTTCGAAATTCATCTCCAGATTTTTTCCTCATCTGTAAATTGGGCAAAATACGTAAATGTGTGCCATTATGGAAGAAAAGCAATCATTTACAAGTGTTCAAAAAATACTCTTCTCCTCCCTGCAGTTCATGGTCAAATTATTTTGGAGAGTATTGACAATAACACTGGACATTGTCAGTAATAAAACTCTATAGAATCTATTTCTAAGCCAAACATTGTTCAGTGAGGAGCCATGTCTTGAAATGACAAGATGTGAAGAAAACTGACTCCTTTACCTCAAAGAGCTTCCTATATCTGACACTGATCAATATTGTCTTGGCTTGTATTATTGATTAAATTGGCTGCTTTCTAAAGTTTGAACTTTGTCTCTGTGACCTCATCTCCCACTCTTTTCTGTTTCCCAGCCCGATAACTTCCAAGAAAGCATATAAAAACCTAGGCCTATGATGAAATCAGTTCTGCTGATGTCAGATTAGTTATGCCTGTGAAAGCTCTTGGCAAATGATGATAAGAATAAAGGAACAACTTCTTAAAAAGTAAACTACTTTTCACTAGGTAAAAGCCAGTGTATAGGAAACATGTGCTCTGTCTCAATTTTGTGGGACTTATGAGAGAGGGTATAGAATAGCCCACAAATGGACAATCAGGAAGACTGGCCCCTAAATAAAGCTTTCTTCCCTCCTCACTCTCCATCTGGGCTGTTACTTGTGGTGTTAAAAAGTATAACACAGCAGCACAAACATTGGGTTGAAATCCGAACTCTACACTTCACTATGGGAGTGTTGTTAGACAAGTTACTTATTGTCTCAATTTCTCATCATAAAAAAGAGGGCAGTACTGTCTAACTCAAAGATCTTGGGTGAGTACTCAAGTGAATAATAAGGAAGGACCCTGGCCCAAAGTCTTGCTCAGAGCACATATATATTAAAAATGTAGTTAATGATTATTAGTATTATTTTTATGGCCAGGTGCAGTGGTTCATGCTTATAATCCCAGCACTTTGGGAGGCTTAGGTGGGCAGATCACTTGAGGTCAGGAGTTCGAGACCAGCCTGGTCAACATGGTAAAACTCCATCTCTACTAAAAATACAAAAATTAGCTGGGCACGGTGGCATGCCTATAATCCCAGCTACTTGGAGGCTAAGGCATGAGAATCGCTTGAATCCCGGAGATGGAGGTTGCAGTGAGCCAAGATTGCACCATTGCCGTCCAGCCTGAACAATGAATTGTGCCACTATCTCAAAAACTAATAATATTAATACTACTACTAATTATTCTAGTATTTTTGATAGAGAAGTCTGGATTTGATTATCTAAGTTCCTTTTCATCTTTAAAATTAGACTTTCCCCATTTGGTTGCTCACAAAATACTTCTTATAGAGTTTGGAACACCCTAAGCTCAGTGTTTGAGGACCTGACCAGACTTAGCAGGAAAGGCAGTCTGGATGGGTAATTATAAAAAATAAAGGTTATCCTATCTTTACAAGCCTGATTGCGGTAGCCAGTTTTCTGTGAATCTGCATGTATTATTTCATCTTCAGTTTATACTTAAACAAATACAGAGAACCATCTCAGATACTAAGAGTGCTGAATATTTTTTCAAGTTATTATAACATTTTGAAAGAGTACTATAAACATGTACAATATGTGACTATAGAATAATGAATGAATTTTCCTGTGTGGCATGGAGGCTTATTATCTTAAAGCCACATTCTGTGTTGTTCTACAGAAGCCATGTGTGACATTTCTCACTAATGGCTTGTGCTCTTATTAAAAATTTGTCTCTTAACTCCCTCAGTCTTTGGGAATGCTAGCATCCACTTGCATGTAAATTAATACCTTTGCAGAATGGAAATGAGGTACCTGGAAAAGTCCCTTCATTTCTTGAGTCTGATAAGGAAATACATTGCTTTCTATTTATATATTTGAGCAGAGTTATTGTTTTCAAATTTATATGAAAATACTTATTTTATGGGAAAGCATACTTTTATGATCTCAGTAATAAAACTGGGGCTTGTTTTTACTGATTATGCTGTTTATATTTAACTGTAATTATCAGCTGGGGAGAAGAATAGGTGTGCACACTTACTTTCTTCGTCAAGGAAGTTTTCAGCAGCTGATAGTAACCTCCTTCTGTCTTCTGAGTTTTCAATATTTAATTCAATGAGATGACTCTCTTTTATATCTTTTAAATCTTCTAGAGTCTCATAACCATTGAGCAAAAGTGTTGAGGTATATTCCTGCAAATTAGTCAAATTCAAATATTTTATTTTTAGTTCTCTTTAAAGAAAATGTAGCAATGCATATGGAAACCAAAGGTACCAATAGAACTTTTGCTTAACTTCACTTGTATTAGTTTTCGACATATGAACTCCAGGGCTCTTAAATGATTATGTTGTTTAATTCTCACCTTTTGTATGGCCAAGTCTAAAGAAGAAATCATTAACTTAAATATCCAATTTCAAATAATGGATAAATTAAATAGTTGGATCATACACCCATTTGGCATTTTTTCACTTCTCAACCAACTAAATTGATGAAACTAGCATTACTTTAAGGCTATCAATGAAATGCCTCTAGCAGAGTAGCATGCTACAGTAATATCTCAGAATCTATATCTCTTCCTGTTTGCATGATCGCAAAAACTTCTACTCTCAAAATCTTCTTGGGGCCTAGGCGGGTGGATTACGAGGTCAAGAGATCGAGATCATCCTGGTCAATGAAGTGAAACCCCGTCTCTACTAGAAATACAAAAAATTAGGTAATCCCAGCTACTCAGGAGGCTGAGGCAGGAGAATTGCCTGAACCCAGGAGGCGGAGGTTGCGGTGAGCCGAGATCGCGCCATTGCACTCCATCCTGGGTAACGAGAGCAAAACTCCATCTCAAAAAAAAAGAAAAGGATTTGAAACAGATGTAATTCTACATTAAAAATTTGTTGTAGCATTTTGGTTGAAAGGCATTATATAAACCAAAGGAATTCTAGACTTTCTATTTAATTGAAAGTTTTTATTAAGCATAGAAGCACCATAGTTGGGTGAAAGAATTATTTTCTCAGAATGTATATTTTGTCCATCATTTGCATCAATATATATTAGTTTAAAATTCAGAGGTTTCTGATTTCAAATATTAGGTGAAGTTGAGTGCTTTTTCAACTTCCTCAAAGATTTCTCCCAGTTTACTTCATCTAATTTCAATATCCTTATTTTAATTCTAAAATAGAATAAGAGGAAGTCTAAAAGTTTTAAGTAATCAGGAAGAACTTATGACCAGCCCTTTTTAACAAAAAAATAAAAGGAAGGAAAACAAGAGGAGTGACAATTCTTTCTTTATAAAAGTATAATCTTAGCACTGAATTAGAATAGAGAACACAAAAATTCCTGTTGTGACAGAACCATTTAACCCTTCTTGGGCAAGTCATCTCAGTCTCTTAGCCCCTGGTTTTCTCACAGGTCACAGAACAAACAAGAGGCAGAGGCAAGATACCAACCTGTACATTCCCCAAGGAATATCTCATTTGGGGTGCACCAATAGCAATACAGGAAAGCTTAGATGCTGTGTTTATAGACAGAAACATAACTAAATAATTCAGAAAAAAACAATTAAGAAAAGTGTAATTGACTACTGCCTTGATGAATTTCGAAAACTATCAAAGTACTGCTCAGTTGATTTTAGAAATAGACAAAAAAAAACTGTAAATTGATTGATACTAGGTATATTTTCTATACATGCCATTTAACAAGGTAAACATTTCAAAAGAATTTTGCTAATATAACAAGAAAATAGTAATTGGGTTGCAGATACAGACAACACACTTAAAACAATCATTATGGGGCTTGATGATCACTATTTCCTTCAAATTACATTTAAAATGATTATATTCAGTTATCTTCTCTCAACTTGATTTTCATCTCTGCTTTGTAAAAAATACAATTCTTTTCATTTTTCCTTTCACTTTTTTAGACTTATTTTATTCCTTACACTCTCTTTATCATTCTAATTTAGTCATTTTCTTAGGGCCTTTTGTTCTTCTAAGGTATTTTTATTTTTCACTGCACTTTCTCAACATTAATCTCTATTGTCCCTGCTAAATACTATTAAGGTTTAGTCCAAGGGATATTATACCAAGACTTGCCCTTGCATAATAAAAGTAATAAAGGAGAAATAAGAGCTCTTCTAGGAAAACAAGTTTTCCTTTGCTTGTAAGACTGATCCATGCTCCTCAATTTTTCCATTTACATGCCACCAAAAGCAAACAAGTCATAGGTTTGCTCACCTGAAGATGAATCCTCTCTAGGAACTCCTGCAGAGTTTTGGATTTTTCGTTGTTACTCCTTTGGTTTGCCTTTATTTTCTTGGGGGCTGCTTCCTCTTCTGAGATGACATCCACATAAATGAATTTGAAGTTTCCTACTTTATTGTTCAACATTCCCGTCCACATCCCCATTGGTGTTTTGCAGATAATGTCTATGATGTCTCCTTTCTAAGGACAAAGAAATCCATACATATTAGGTTTCAGAGAAGTATGATGCTATAAAAATTGATAGAAAGAATGAAATCATAGAAAACTAGAATAATGAGGACATTATGCTAAAGGGGTTCAGATATAATAGAAATAAATCTAAACATCCACTTCTTGCAAAAGTTCAGGCTAATGGTATGGTGGGTTATGCTTAAATTCCCAGAACTTTGAGAGGCCAAGGCAGGAGGATTGCTTGAGGCCAGGAGTTCAAGACCAGCCTGGGTGCTAAAGTGAGATCCCATCTCTAGACAAAAAAAAATTTTTTTTAATTAGCCTGGAATGGTAGCATGTGCCTGTAGGCCAAGGTGGGAGGAGTTCAAGGCTACAGTGAGCTGTGAGTTAGTCACTGCACTCCAGCCTGGGCAACAGAGTGAGATCCCATCTTAAAAAATAAATTCAAAGAAGTTACTTACTAGGTATAAGGAAGAAAACTTAAACATTCTTGACAAAAAGCCCTCACATAGTTTGATGACATGTTTATTTTTCTGTTATCATATCAATTTGTCAACTTATAACTGTAGAACATAGTGTAATTTACAAAACACTTTTGCCTACTCTAAGTTATTTTTGCTCATAACACATCTCTTAGATACATAAGGGAGGTATCCTCATTATTAATTAACAGATATTAAATGACTTCCCAAGAGCTTGAAGGAAGTTAATGGTAGAACCAGGACTCAAGTCTAAGTTATCTGAACTGAAAAATGATGCTCTTATTATTTGTATTTTGAAAGCAATGTATATGTAACAAAGCTCAAGTCATCATTCCTGGAGGCACTCCCCAGCTGGGGATGGAGATGAAGGAGAAGTCTTTACTCTATGTGTTTCTAGTGCATCTGAAAAATTTATCTACAGTATAAGATAAACCCATCTCCAGTATTTAATCTATCTAAAATAAAGAAATTGTACCGAAGTCATAGAAAAGTATGTGTACACTAAGGTTAAATTATGCTAAATAATTCTTTTTAAGGTATTCATGCCCTCCTTTTATTAAGAGGAGATAACATTTAGATTGAGCTCACAGCAAAGTTTAAATTGAAGTATGAATGAATCACATTGGTATGGACAAACCAATTGGTCTTTTTCTTTACTCACATCTAAGATGATAATTAACTATAAGCTGCCAGTTATTGGCAAAAGTAGAAAACTTCATGGGGATATTTCTTTGTAAAGAAAATTTATTTCTATGCAAATATGATGCCTATGTTTAAGAGTCATAGTTCCTCCTTTGACACAAAAGTTTCTGCCCCAGAGAGGACTTTACAGATTCTAATATTTTTGCACATTTTAAGTGTCTACCCACAAACAAACTAAGCATCAAGTCTGCTACTAAAAATATTTTTCCTGCTGCTCTAGGAATGTGTGTTCTTCCATCTAAAAAACAAATTTTACTTGTAATGGTATAATTCACTGTGACTGAACTATCTGTCTGTCTGGTCTTGTGATCTGTTAAGCTAGGTCTTTCTGCCTTTTAGGAAAGGGAATAAAATTATAGGCTGGATGGCATCAGGTAGGGAGACTGGGAAGCTCTCCCAAAGCTCTAGAAAGTTTCTAGGCATGGAAACCCTTTACTGCATCCTTCCTATTATATTTGAGACTTGTAAATTTGCAAATTATTATCTAAACATACATACCTGCACATTCCAGGAAAGCCCACAGTTCATCAAGCAAAGACTCAGTTTTATTTTGGATAAAACCCTTGATTGAAATAATAGTATTTCAATCTTCATGGGTAACTGGGGAATTCTCATTGTGTCCTATAAGAGCTTCATAAAAACTCACCTCAGGCAGCAGCATCAGTGGTACCCTGGCATGGTATTGTAGGGAAGTTGAAAGGCTATCTTGAGTCAAACTGTGCTGTGTTTATTTCCTTCTATTTCTCTCTTCCACAGTGGTTACTAGATTACGATATCGTTTCCCCAAGACTTGAACTTGGACATCAGATCATTTCATATGCATGACTAAGGAGCTTACTATGGGGAACACTACATGTTTTATTCTCCAGTTGAGCTTACTCTGATTTGGTAGTATGGAAGGGATCAAGACCATAACTGTTAAATAATAATATAAATACTCCATAATGTATCATAATTATTAGTTAACATTGGTTAAGTGTTAACAATATAGAAAATTCATACTTTATGTCCTTTGACTTTTAGCACTTTGTGATACTAGAAAGAATTAATTTAACATCTATGAATTCTTTTAGCACAAAGCCTTCTTCTCTTTGTGCTATTGTAGTCGACTACTCTCCTTGAGTGTAAGCAGGACTATGAATACTGCTTACATGGATTTCATAATCATGATTATGTTACCCTTATATGATAGGAGGGACTTTGCAGATCCAATTATTGTACTAAATATAAACTAGTACAACCACTATGGAAAACAGTGTAGAGATTCCATAAAGAACTAAAAGTAGAACTGCCATTTGATTCAGCAATTCCACTGCTGGGTATCTACCCAGAGGAAGAGAAGTCATTATATGAAAAAGATACTTGCACACACATGTTTATAGCAACACAATTTGTAATTGCAAAAAGGTGAAACCAGCCTAAATGCCCATCAATCAATGAGTAAAGAAACTGTGATATATATATATATATACACACACACATATATATATATACACATATATATATATACACACATATATATATATATGATGAAATACTACTCAGCCATAAAAAGGAATGAATTAATGGCATTTGCAGTGACCTGGATGAAACTGGACACTATTATTCTAAGTGAAGTAACTCAGGAATGGAAAACCAAACATCGTATGTTCTCACTCATAAGCGGGAGGTAAGCTACGAAGATGCAAAGGCATAGGAATGACGCAATGAACTTTGAGGACTCGGGGGAAAAAGTGGGAAGGTGGTGAGGGATAAAAGACTACAAATATAGTGCAGTGTACACTGCTTGAGTGATGAGTGCACCAAAATCTCACAAATCACTGCTAAAGAACTTACTCATGTAACCAAATGCCACCTGTTCCCCAATAGCCTAAGGAAACAAAAATAAAAGGTACTGGAGTAGACTTGCCAAGTCTCGCTCCCAAGGCCTTTGCTCTGCTGTGTTTTTGCCTGACATTTGCACTTTCTCTCCTTCTCTTTGGTTTCGTTATTTTTATTTCTGCAAGTATCAGGCAGAGTTGAACACCCTCAGCAACTGTGAGGCTTTTGGTTTTCAGGAAAATGGAGAGAATTCCTTCCTCCCTGATAGATTTTGAACCTGAATAGTCTACAAAATAACAAATTATGCTAATAGCCTGAATAGACTGCTACCCTGACCCCACCTCACTTATTTCATTCAAATTCTTAGTGCTGTAAGCCAGTCTCCACTTCTATTGTTGGGAAGAACACACTCACACCCTGTCTTCCCACTGCTTATACTTGTTGAAACAGATCATATAACCAGCATTTGACAAACCATTCAGAAGGTGGGATATGGTGTCCTCTCACCTTGATTTTGAGGGAGTCAGTGTCGTAGGGACTTGGTGTGAAATCCGTATGCACTCTGGCACGACCACAGAATGGTCCTGAATAGGGGACATCGTCATCCAGTCGAAAGCTGTCACGGTTACTTGTACCATCTGAACAGCTTGTTATGCCACCTAATAAAAGCAGTAGTTCACAGCTGTCATTGAAGACTTCTAACATTCTGAACCATCATTTAGACACAACTAAGTATTGATAATACTGGAACACTGGATGCCAGGCTTATGAGGAGGTTCTAATTGACCCATCCTGGTTATGGTCTCCCAGTTGCTCTCCATCAATGAGCTTTGTTCTCTGAGCATTTCTAACCTTTTTCTGCCAATCTGGCCACTCTCTCCTCTACTACTAACCCAAGTACCCTCTCACTTCATTCTCCATAATCTGATCCAATACACAATATACTAAGCATTGGACACTTGGCAAAGAGGAGGAAGGTATAGGTACAACCACAGACCAGGCCAGCTAATTAATTTTGTACATGCAAACAAATACAGAAACTGATAGCAAGTTTGAACTTTGTGTGCTATTGACCATGAATGCTCAAGGTATGCATGACATTATAATATTTCCTACAACTTATCACAAACCTTTTCTGCCAGAGTTCCCACTGTGTACCGAAGGCCATTTTGAGTCAATATTTTTGCCATAACAGGTGGCACTTTTGCTTGTTGTATGAGCGTAAAAGAAAGAGGAAGTGTGTCCAAATGTCTGCACCCCCAAGTGGTTTGAAACTTCTAAACTGGGTCTTTAAAACTGCTCTGAACTTCAAGGAAAAGAGAAAAGAGATATCATTTTGCCACCTGCCTGGGAACAAGAATGGCTCCCAGTGAAAGTAACTCTCCTCCCCTACCCTCATACTCAGTCATCACTTCTTCCTTGGTCTGGCCTTTCATCATTCTGTTCAATGAGGGAATAGCCCAGGTTTCACTACCATGCAATGTGGAAATAAGGTAAAGATCCTTCAAGACGCTCCACATTGTATGTGAACTGGTATAGAACAGGTGAGTTGCATCTAATCAGATAAATTAAGTGGTATATGGTAATAGTAAAATGGGCCACCATCTCTTCACACCCTTCCTTCTGTGACACCTCCAGCCCAGGGATTTTCACAGTCCATTCTAGTTAATAAAATTCTCCCCACGTTCAGCATCACAATATAGTTTTAAAACTTCCAGCAGAAATGAATACTAATGAGATCTGAATTTCACACATGTAAAAAAATTCTTTAAATGTTTCTGTTAGCTTTTGTCACAAAATATCTGTTCTACAGCAAATAGGAAAATAGGAATAAAACTCGGGATATTTGAAACATCTGGTCCTTGCCATACATCTTCAAATAACAGAAGCAGTCGATTTAAAAGGAAATGGAAAATAAACTTTGCAAAATCATTTAAAAGCCCTGAAAAGATTAGAGAGATGTATAACAGTCTACATATAAAAAGTCATAAGGCACCCTGAAATATCAATAATTTCATCCAAATAGTGTAGCTGGAAAAGTGGCTAAATCCTGAGTGATTTCTTTCTTAGAAAATTATTAATGTTCACTAGAAAATCCTTGTTTGTCACTTATAGATCCCTTTTTGCCAAATAATTGGTGACATTCCTACCATTTATTATTTGCATATTGCTTTGCTCTTTACTCATTAATTCTGGGTTAAGATCTAAAAAGTAAATGTCAGTAAAAGTAAATTGATGCAAATGTGCTACATTTTTTCAGAGTACTTCTGAAGAAAAGAAAAGCAGTGGGGGGAGAAAGAGAGAGGGGGATGCAGGGAAGAGGGTGGGAGAAAGAAAGGGACTGAGAACAGAACAGAAAATAAATTTCATTTATCTGAATACTTTAAGTGATTTTAAAATATTTTGACTCGAGATAAATCTGGCTCACTTCAACAAAGATTTTTATTTTAGAGATGCAGATTGAATCACCTAATACGACTTTTTACACTGTTGTTGACTACAGTGTTAAAAGTTTTAACACAATATATAACTGTGTCAAATATATTATGTATTATTTAAACAACAGCAACTCTATATAGATCTAATAGATCTTACATTTTACTATTTCTCTTATCAAGTAGCTGGAACCTTGTTTAACCCAGACCTCACACCCAGGATCTTGTCTCTGATTCATTAACCTTACTTGATGAGCTCTGTCCACTGTAGAGACTATCCATGGAGTCACTGGCTTTGAGTGACAACTTCTCTGTGTGGGTCCCAATCACAGGGTCACTGTTCCTATATGAGAGGGCACCATCTCCATCTTCTTCATCCTTCAGAAAAACAAACCAGAGGTCAAGTACAGAGAGAAGATTCCATGAAGATGTTCATTGTGTACACTGATTTAATTGACAAGACATGTTTTAGCAATGAAATACTTAATACATAAGGGTAAAATATATAGTAGTTGATCTTCAGTTCAATTTCTAGCAAAACCTTTTTCAATATACTTGAAAAAATTCTTCAGATGACACATTCCTTTTTCTAGAATTCAATTGAAATTATAATGGCTCACTTTTACAAACTAGGATGAATATCATATCAATACTATTTAATCAAAAATATTAGATTTATTAACATCTATGGTTTATCTTTTAAGACACATTTACTTCTTCATGTTGTCCTTATCCTCAATTTACCACCGTTACTAATCCACTGATCCTATAAGCTTCAACTCTGCATAGTTGTTTCATGTCAGTTATTTGCACCCCACCAGATCACTAGATATGAATAAAACATGTACATTTTGCAATTCTAAAGCAAAGCTTATCTAAGAAGCTTTACAAATCTAATACCGTGCTTGCCACCTCGTCAGGTGAAAAGCAAATCTTGCATAAAATTAGAAAAGACAGACAATTTCAAAACAAATTATATTTTCTTGAAAACGTCTCCAATGTTTTCCATATTTCAACAGTTTGGATTAAACTTATGAATTTCTTAATATTTATCAGAATGTAATTCAACATTCTTTATTTGTGTGCATTTCTAAATGTTTATAAAACTTGACAATATACACATACTAGACACTCAGTTTGATTTTCTGCTTTTATCCATTTCTTTATTCCTTCAGTCATTCAACACAAGTTTATAGAACACCTACTAGGTCCTGGGCAATGTTCTGGGAACTGGGAATTATCATGGTAAACAAGATAACAGGGTGCTTGTTATAATGAAGGATGTTCTATTGTGTTAACTCTGTGTGTGTGTATCTGCGTGTCTGTGTGTGTAGAGCATTTGGGGAGGTGTGTATAAACAAAATAAGCAAGACAATTTCAGAAAATAATAAGTGTTAAGAAATAAATAAAACTGGGTGATGTGAGAGAATGTGTGGCTAAGGTTAGGGTTACAGGTTGGCTACTTTAAATGGAGTGTCCTTCAAAGACCTCTGCCATACAGTAATGTGTGCCCTTAATTATTGAGCTAAATGACAAGAAAATGTAACTTAGGTGAAGCTTTGGAGACAGTTTTCTAAGCAAAAGGAAGATCAGGAGCAAAATAACTGCACTCAGAATTAGCTTGGGTTGTGCAGGGGAAAACAACAAGGCTAATGTGGTGAGAGAAAGGAGAATATTAGTGTGTAAGTTTAGGGAAATAGACTGGAGCCACATCAAGAGAAGCTTTTTAGACCACGTGTGGTGGCCATGGAAATGAGCCACTTAGATCTCTTGCTGAGGGACCTTTCTTTACTGACAGCCCCAGGACTGCCCCTCTGTATCCACTACTCTGTTTGCAGTAAAACCATACTCCCTGCCAGTAACTGAAAATGTAGAGATATTGTTTGAGCCCATTCTAATGGAATTCTGGGCTCCTGTAATGGAAAACTTTAGTATAAGAATCCTCCATTAATCTGACCAAAGCTTTTCAGAATTCTGCTGAAGTATGACACTCTCTCTACCTGATCCTTCTTCCTTTTCCCTGTCCTTTTACAGATGTCAGATTTGCATTGCAGTCTAAAAGCTTTCTCTTCTTTGGCCTTCCTAGCACTTCCCTCTAAATCTCTGGTGTTTCTATTTCTTTCTTGGGATCTGCTGCTCAGAGGACTAGAATGAACACACCAAGTAAAGGGGTGCATTATGAAGACACTGTGAAATTTTAACCATGACTGGATTTCCACTTGTCAGACATATTTTTAGCTTTCATATGGAGAATAAATTTTATGTGGGAAAGAATAAAAAGCATGGGAAGCAATCAGGGGATTATTATAGTAATCCAGGAAAGAACGATTGGTTACTTAGTCTAAAGCAGGAATAGTTTACATGGAGAAATTAGAGAGTTTATATATACTTGGTAATATAATTAAGATAATTTACTGATGAATTAGTGTGAAAAGTGAGAAAAAGAAGGAATTTAGGGTGAGTCTTAGATTTGATTTTCTTTTTTCCTCTTTTTTATATTTTTATTTTTATTCATTTTGAGGATCAGTGTTGTCTGCTGCCACTGGGAATACTGGATGAGAAAACCTTTTTTTGGGATAAAAGCATAGAGAATTGATATATTAGCTTTGGATATATTAAGTTTTGGATGTATACTGAACATCTAAATGAGGATATCAAATAAGAAATTGATGGTATAAATACAACAGATAAGTGAAGAGATCATTGCTAGAGATATACTTGTTGAAGACAAAGTCATGAGAGTAGATGAGCTGACTTAGGAGGGGAGTGTAGATTCAGTGGAGCAACCAGAAACAAGCCTCAGGAAGATCCAGTGTTTCGAGGAATGAGAAAGAAAGCAGAGCCACGAAAGGAAACTCTGAGGAAGAATAAATGCCAGAAGTATGCCCAAAGAAGCCAAGAAAAGTGAATGTTTTATATGTAAGGATATCAGCACTTGGATCGAATACAACTGAAAAGTAGTAAGGAGAAAGAAAAGTGACCATTGGCTTGGACAACACAGAGGTCACTACAGATGGTGACAGCTATTTTAAGGGAGTACTGGGGGCAGAGCCTTATTGAAGTGGGTTGAAAAAGAGAATGGACATAAGACATAAAAATCAATAAAGTAGAATTGAGAGCCCATAAATAAACCCACTTATTTATGATCTGTATATTTATGACAATATATTTATGGTCAATTGATTTTTAACAAGAGTGCCAGGACCATGAAATAGGAAAAGAATCGTCTTTTCAACAAGTAGTGTTAGGGCAGCTGGATATCTACTTTCAAAAGAATGAAGCTGGACTCTTCCTATATACCATACAGTCGAATTACCTTGAAATGAATCATACACCAAAATTTATGAGACCACTGACTTCTTAAAAGAAAACATAGGAATAATTCTTTATTACATTAGGTTAGACAACAGTTTCTTAAATATGTTACCAAAAGCACCAGAGACCACAAAAAGAAAATCGGACTACAAGAAAATTATAAACACTTGTTTTACAAACAATACCATGGAGAAAATAAAAATATAATCCATGCAATTGGAGAAAATATATTATATTGCAAGTGATATATCTGATAAAGACTTGAATCCAGAATATATAAAAAACATTTAATACACAAAGATAAATAACCCAATTAAAAATGGACAATGGATGTGAAAAACACTTCTCCACAAAGATATATAAATGGCTAAAAAGCACATGAAAAGATTCTTGACATTACTATTCATCAGGGAAATGTAAAGTGCAAAAAAAAAGTAAATCAAAATCACAAGGAGATTCCATTTCACATCCACTAGGATGGCTAGTATTAAAAAGACAGACAATAACAAGTGTTGGCAATGATGTGGAGAAATTGAAACCCTCATACATAGCTGGTGGGAATGTAAAATGATGCAGCTGCTTAGGAAAGCAATTTGCCCATTTCTCTATTAGACACAGAGTTACCATATATCCAAGAGAAATGAAAAAATATTTCCATACAAAAAATTGAACAGACGTATTTGTAGTAGCATTATTTGTAATACCCAAAAAGTGAAAGCAACCCAACTGATCATTAACTGATAAGTGGATATATTCAATGTGGTCCATAAAGGAGAAATATTATTTGGCAATAAAAATGAATGAAGTATTGATACTTGCTACAAAATTAATGACATGTTGTTCACATGCATCTATAGATGCATGATCTTTTTTTTTGGCTGCAATACAGTGGCTCACTGCAACTTCTGCCTCCCAGGTTCAAGCGATCCTCCTGCCTCAGCCTCCTGAGTAGCTGGGACTACAGGCATGCACCACCACGCCCAGCTAATTTTTGTATTTTTAGTAGAGATGGGGTTTCACCATGTTGGCCAGAATGGTTTTAATCTCTTGACCTCGTGATCTGCCCACCTCAGCCTCCCAAAGTGCTGGAATTACAGGCATGAGCCACCGTGCCTGGCTGATTCATGCTCTTTCTGAGTGTTAGTTTCTTCTGTTAAAATGAAAGTAATGCTTACTTCCGCCCAACTTCTGGGCATAATGACTAAGGAAGAAAACAGGTGCTTAAGTACTTCATAAAGCACCAAGCACTTCTATAATCCAGCTGAACAGTTTAAGAAAGATTTAGTAAAAAAGTACAAATGATGTAATAGAGAATACTTACCTTTTCCTCAGAAAGGGCTTTGATGTACTTTTTACCCACTTTTTTCTTCATTGTCCAAGAAATAGCTCTCATTTTTTTACCCAAACCACCTCCATTATTTGAAGTTTTACTTGATTCTCCACTTTCATGTATGGGATCTCCGTCATGTACCTAGATTAAAATTGTTTATAAAAGACAAAGTAATAAAACCATAAAAAGCATTCATCTGAAATCATTGTTACAGGGAGCATTCTGATTCTGCGGGCTTCCCATGCATTCTGTGCAGCAGCCTCCATGGACATACACATATTTTTAAAGTTGTCTAGGCCTGATTGCTCGTGTTATAAACTTGGAAAGTAAACCTTATGATACTGAAGGACTTGAGCCTCACATCTGCAACTCTTTTAGAGAATTTTGGCTATTTTTTAAATTGCTATATTGAAGAACCATTTTATTCCCTCTTCTTTAGATGAACAAATAAGATTAAATACCAGGTATAAGGAGTTGTGTCTACACAGATAAAAAAAGATTTTATTGGAAACTTTAGATAGGCTGTAGCATCTATCTGAGTTGAATGGGCCTTAAAATATCCTCTTGCTTCTCATAGAAATTGAGATGATCGTGGTTATTTTAAAGAACTGTTTGTGTTAATGAAACCCACTGAGAAACATTAGGTTTTTTTTTTTTTTTCATCTTAGCATGCACATTTCCCACATTCTCAAGCAATAGTAAATATGAATTGGTTCCAGCCATTAGTACAGAAATCTTTACATAATTCACATGCTATATTAATCAAACATCTTATTTGGACTGCTTTGGTCTGTGCTTAGGAATTTTATTAAACCAATGATTCAGAATAAAACACACTGTTCACAGCCCCAAGACTCTATATATCATAAAATAATATTCTGTTAATAAAATTAATATGTATAGATGTGATATATGTCACATTATATAGAATCTATATGGAATAAAATATCCTCATCACCAACCTCACCCCTAGCTTTTTCTCACATCTCCCTTGCTCACTGGAGCAGTGGTTCTCAAAATATGATCCCTCGACCAGCAGCATCAACGACACTTGAGGGCAGTTTGTGCTTTAGCAAGCTCTACAAGTGATTCCAATACTCACTAAAGTTTGAAAACAACTGTAAAATGTATTGCTATGCTGATCCCCTTGCAGTTTCTCTCTCAGGTTCTCAACAAAGTTTGTATTTGCTTTTGCCATTGGCTTCCCCTAGATATCCAAGAATTTCTTCAATGAGTTATCCAGGCTTCTACTCACATGTCATACAATAGGAGAGCAATTTTCTGATTGATCACCTCCACACTTCCATACATCCTGTTTATTGGCCCTGATTAATTATTCCTCTAAGCAGTTAACATTACCTGATAATATGTTTTCTCATTTGATTATTGTCTACATCTCCTACTAAGATGCATGCTCCATGAGACTCGAGATTTTACGTTTTCTTTGAGTGTCTAAGTACTTCCAGGCACATAGCTAGCACTTGATATTATTTGAATAAATGAAATTTCTCATATAGAACTTTGCAGATTTTTTTTCTTTTAGGATATGTTTGGGTTACATATTTTTAAATACCTTATATTTGCAAGAAAAGAAACTTGAAGGTCATCTAGTTTAGCACTGCCCACCATTCCTGATAGATGGACAGGCAGTCATTCACTGAATATAAAAAATGATGGGAAACTTCTCTTTAGTGAACTTGAATATTTTAATATAAAAGTTTAACCACATTGTTAACATCATTATTAATCAATATTATGTTTTGCTTCATATCTTACCCCAAATTGCCTATGATAAATATGAATGGACAGCCAATTTAAACCCTCATTGCACTTTATTAATTTCTACATTCAAGGTTATAAAGGCAAAGATTCTTTGCTTAATTCAAAAGCCCTGAATAAAATATAATTTGGAAGCACTTTAAAATTTTAGAATTAGCCTTTTTCTTCTCTCTACTTAAACTTTCTCTGTCTTCATTGTAGAATTATTTTGCTAGCTAACATAAATAAGAAATGTTATTTAATTACTACTTATGTTACCCTGTGATTTCTAAACTTCAGAACAATGTACCACAAATATTTTTTCAGGTTTTTCTATCATTATTTACAGAAGCTACAAAGAAACTATGTTTATGTCTTTTGAATGTTAACATTTTCCTATTCTATTTCTCCATAGCCTGAATCAAATTTCTATTTAGATATTACTTATGGTTTTGTTGTTGTCTTTTAAGATTTGTCTTCCCCTGTAGACTCCAGGTATGAAGTAAGGATTTTCAAGTGTGATTGCAACAGTACTTCCTGAGTGTGTAAGGGAAAACATGTCATAGAGTAGGCATTTTTTTAATGAATGCCGGACTTCTGAAAAATATGCCAACTACTTTATTAGGTTCACTAAATTATTTTACAAATTACTAGGCAACCATTATTAACTAATGACCTTGAATGAACCTGAGCTATCTTATGTAGGCTAATTCCAGAATTATAAACTAAATAGCAGTAGAATATATGTATGATTGTGGAGAGTTAAAAATGTATACAAGATGCCCACTGAAAATAAAATTATATACAGCTTCTTTCTCTCTTCACACACACACGCATATATATATATATATATATACACACAAACACACACATATATAATACACACATATATATGGAGAGAGATTTATATGTATACATTCCATGCGTTACTTACAATTATGTAAATGTTGATTAGCTATATAGTTATGTACAAGTTTACTAATAAATGTGAATATATACATAATAAATAAAAGGAGATAATTACTAAAACTAAAATATTTAAAAATATTACAGATAGATATATCTGAAAACAAGCATAAGATCTAAAAACCTATTGATCTGAAAAGAATATATTGCCTGTGAGCTTGCTGAATCAGGTTCAATCATAAACAGTATTTTCAGTTTTCTCAGTAGACACCCCATCTCTGTACTATTTTATTAGTTGTTGTTATACCTGTCGTTAATCACTTAGCAAATGTGGCCCCTACTTTATGAGATAGTATGGCAAACTTTGGAGTCAGAGAAGAGTTTGAGTTCTGCCTTTGTCATTTATTCACTCTGTAATTTAGAAGTAATTTTATTTGATGATAAAGCATATTTCTGCAATGGCAGAACAGATACACTAATACTTCCTATGTTATAGATAGGTAAATTGTTATAGAAAGTAAAGTTAGCATTGTGCTTATTTCATGGTGAGTGCTCCATTAAATGTACATATTATTGAAATTTTTTGTATGTAAACCTAATTTTATGGGAAGCTTTTCTTAAGCTACATTTAAAATGTTTGTAGTTTATTAATGTGTACGTAGTGCTCACCAATGGGATGTTTCAGTATACACTGAAGTGTGAGAGTCCAATTGAGCAGCCATATGCTCTCCTTAACAAATTTACAGTTGAGCCACCTAATCATTTTCTAATTTAAAGCTATTACAACTTACATAAAATTATATATATATGCTAAATAATGTGTACAAATACAATGTTGGTGTGTGTGTGTGTGTATATACCTAAATATATATATACACACATTGTTTTATGGCAGAAATACTCAGGAAATTTGGAATTGTCAGTGTTTTTGAACTCTAACTTTTTAGGTGTATATTTTGCTTTCCCAAACATCTGTTAGGTTTCTTAAAATAGTATTTTACTTTTAATGCCCTGCATGATACTGGATACTGACAGAGACAAGGGACAGCCAAGGGTCCCTGGCGAAACGTCACTTTCAAGCCTAAAACAGCCTAAAGGCTGAAAAACCAGACTGCTGCTCCCGGATGAAGCCCACCCTTTCCCAACTACTTCTCTTTGAATAATGCCCACCTGTGCACTGAGGGAATTGGGTGGAGCTACGGGAAGCTCCCGTCCTTTGCAGCCGGGAGGAGCCAGGATTCTTCTGTTCCTTTGAAGTGGCTAAGGATTCTATTTGTAAGGTAGGAGCCTGCTAGCAGGACTCTCACTTTGCTAAGAGTTCCTCTTTTCTTTTTTCCTTTTCACACAGTAAACCCTGCCCTACTCACCCTACAATGTGTCTGTGGGCCTAAATTTTCCTGGTCATGTGACAAGAACCCCTTTTTTTCTACAACAGTACTAAATAATGGTTTGTTCATTTATCATGAAAATATGTGCAAGGCTGTAATTTTAAAATGTATTTATTTTTCTTATTGTACTTTGCAAAAATGAGAATGTCTTCATATTTCATAATGTGTTTTCATAATAGTCATAAAAATGGAATAAAATACTAACCTCAGTTGAATCATCTGGTTTTGATATAGAATTATTCCGAAAACGATCAAAATTCCCAAAACTGCTGCTTCGCTATAAAATAGAAAAGAAAAAGGAAAGGAAACTTAGAGTTGGTTATTTTCGCTGCCCAAACTGATTAATATATTAGATTATAGCTGAACAAGCCCCATCTTTTCCAAATAAAGGGTTTAAAAAGCTCTTTTCTCTGGAATATTAGAAGGCTGTGAAGATACAACAATTAACATGTTTATACTTACAGTCAATAAAATGTCTTTCTATGTTATAGTGTTAAGTAAGCACCTTGAAGAAGATCTTGATTAAATTATTTTAAATTTATGATTTTAATTTTGCTCTTGGAAATGGCGGCTGAAGAATCCATAAATTCTAAACTAAAGCCCTTTGAAATGAGCTAACCACAAACTTAGTGGTGTGTAGTACTAACCAACCAGCCAATAAACAAATAACAACAACGCAATACACAAACAAAAAGCAAGCATCTGACTAGATCCACCATTATGCCTCACAAAGATCAAGTTTGTTCACATGCTGGGGCCTGTGGGGAGGAGGGCATGGAGAGGTGGATCATCAGGAAAAATAGCTAATGGGTGATGGGGGCTTAATACTGAGGTGATGGGTTGACAGGTGCAGCAAACCACCATGGCACATGTTTACCTATGTAACAAACGTGTACATCCTGAGCATGTACCCCAAAACTTAAAATAAAAGTGAAAATAAAAGATCTACTTTGTTTTAAGAAAAAAATAAGTGTATATTCTATTACCAACTATTGATCATTTGAAATTCTCTGCTGTATATCAGAAAGAGAAGGCACACACGTAGACTTATTAATAAATTGAAAGCAGCATTTAGGTATGCATAGTCCAAGGTTGGGAGTAAAACTGAATTTTTCCACATTTGACATAGAATTACAATGAGACCTCTGGGTCAGTTTCATTCACTGGTTTTGAGAAAAAGCTCAGTATGTTGATAGAAGATGTTGCCTTGAATACCTTTTGCTTACAAATCTAAATTTTTATTATGCAACTCATTCGAGGCAGGTAATTATAAATAATTCCTGATATGCAACAAAATAAATGAATCTCTTAAACACATTTTAAAATTCTTGAGAGTCATTGAGTCAAAAAATTGATATTTCTTCACTATCTAATTCTATGCATTTTTGAGAAGCTGGATATCTGATGTTGTATTCTTTGCGTACCCATAAATCCCAAGAATATTTTCTTTCTAAAGGCCTTTATCTCATTTCAAGCTTATCATATTTTAAAAATAAATGGGTGGTACTGACATATAATCTGGTAATTCAGAAATTAATAATGGGAGTCAGTAATCTATAAAATCTTGCACAAGTTCTCCCTTAATGCTATCGATAGGATCTCGGAAACTGCTACTTTTAAGCAAAACCATTTATAATCCGCTTTACCATAGGCTACTTGAAATAACAAGTTCAAATAACAAGTTTCTATGACCTATTTCTTATCACGAAAACATCATCCAATTACTAAATAAAGACCCAAACACTTCTAATGGTAAACATGGAAACAAATGTGATCCATACATACATTTAAGAAAGATTAATTTTAAAAACTAACATAATTATTTACCCAGTTATTCCAGTTCAGGGTTGCTGTGAGTGGTCAGAGCCTATCCCCACAACTCAGGGCACAAGGCAGGAACCAGCCCTGGACAGGGTGCCGTTCCATCGCAGGGCGCACTGAAGCACACATCCACACTCACTCATCGGGGAGCTATTTTGACACGCCAGTTGACCTGACATGCACTTCTTTGGGTTGTGGGAGGAAATCCACACAGAAATGAGAAGACTTCAAACCCTGCACAGACCCTGGTCAGGAACTGATTTTTTTTTCTCCATCAATGTTATTATAACAAAATTATGTCGGAGGAAACGACATTATTGGAGGACCTGCTATATTGTCCTTTCAGAAATCACAGCCCATTTTAGTACAAGTCAGCTTCAAGGGCTCCTAGTCCTTAGAAGCTCTTATGTCTCCCTACCAGCTATCTTTAAAAATCCTTGTTTCCCTTTTAAATGAACTGAAATAAAAAGATCCTGACATATGAAAAGGGGTTAGCTTGATAGACGGTGTGATACAGAATATTGCCCCGAGGACGATGTCTGCGTTACACACAATTAGCGCCTTTTGCTGACTTGCCACCCCTGCTGAACAAGCCCTTCAGCCTGTGGTGAGAGGAGCGGAAGCGAAGGGCTGAAATTGAGAACCACAGTGGAAAATACAAAGTCTTCTTATGTAGTACTTTCTAGTCTAGAGTGGCTTCCCAGAGTATTAATCACTCCAACTTGCCTAGTAGGCCTTTCCATCTGGCCGTCATTGCTCAGCAATCACAGAAGGGAATTGAGTGTATTGTTGTCCTGCTTATAAACAATCCGAACACAGGGAAATCTATTACTCTTTTATATACTTAAAACCATTCTATGTCCGATTGGAGCCCATGCCCAAGGCAATTTTGTGGCCTACATCTAGCCTGTTAAATATTAATAAGAGTTAGGGTATGATTTCCACCACTGGATAATGGGTCCCGTTGCACAGCAGGGCACAGAATAGACTCACTTCAGCATTTCTCTACACTATCATCTTCCATTAAGTAATCAATAGCCACCACCTTTTAAAATTAATTCTCCACTCATTATATCAATAAAGAAAAGCAGATTTAGGAGTCCTGGTTTAAGAAGGACACAGAACTATTACTTTGGGTTTTGTCAGTCATCTCATCGCTAATTACTCAATAGCTTTATGCCATAGGAGTATATCAATCCATGCTAAGACAACCTTAGAAAGAAAATCTAAATATTTCAAAGAACATTTACATTTTTTCATTATTCTCTAGTTTAAAAGATAGTAAATAAGTTTCTCAGGTGGTTTCATAATGTATAGATTATGGCTTATGACAAAAAGGGGCTAATGTCTACTATGAGGTCTGAACAACGAACACTTTTGTAACTTTTGTTTTTGTCAAGTTTTATGATAACAAGGCGAATTATATGGAAACAAAGCTTGCTTCCTAAACGTCCTTAATAAATGTTTGAATAATGATAATGTTGCATTATACCATTGTAATGTATTAGACTTAGTAAACATTATCTTATGATACAAGTTCCTATCAAGACAGTTATATAAGCAAATAACTGTCAAAAAGAAGAGGAGCCTAAATTAAAAATGCAAATATATGTGTGTGTGTGTGTGTGTGTGTGTGTATATATATATATATATTTATTTATTTTTTTGAGACACAGTCTCCCTCTGTCACCAGGCTGGAGTGCAGTAGCATGATCTCCGCTCACTGCAACCTCCACCTACCGGGTTCAAGTGATTCTCTTGTCTCAGCCTCCTGAGTAGCTGGGATTACAGGCATGCGCCACCATGCCCAGCTCATTTTTGTATTTTAGTAGAGGCGGGGTTTCCCCATGTTGACCAGGATGGTCTTTATCTCTTGACTTCAAGATCCGCCCACCTCATTCTCCTAAAGTGCTGGGATCACAGGCGTAAACCCACGTGCCTGGCCACAACATATATTTTAGATAATTCTTTGTGTTTGTTGACATTAGATCATATTTAGTCTATATATTCTACACAAATGTTTCCAGTCTTTCTTTATGCAATTAAAATGCATTTGTAAAATGGCACAACACCTACAGAGGGAAATTTGGCAATATCTAGCAAAATTCTACATACATTTTCCCTTTGTCCCAAGAATTCTATTTCTAGATTTTTGCCAGAAATACAATTGGATATGAATTGTTTACACTTCAACGTTTACTGTAGCACTTTCATATTATCAAAAAGATGTAAAGCCTAATGTTCATCAATAGGATACTGGTTGAATAATGTATGGTAAATCTATACAATGCAAATGTATGTAGCTGTAAAAAAGTTAAATAGATCTTTTTATATGAAACAGAATAACCTCTACAATATAGTGTAAGTTGAAAAAGTAAACCGGAGAAAAGTGCAATATATTCAAATACATCTAATGTCAAAATTCACAAGTTCATAAGGATACTAAAAAGAAAAATTCATCTGTTACATTGGGAAATGTCATAATTATATTCAGAAAACTAACAAAGGGACAACTTAGACATTTAATCTGCCTTTCGTGTATGAAATCTGTTTCATCAACTATATAGTTCATCAACTAAATATTTATAGTTGATGAGGGGAAATTGCTCTATATATGTGCATACATCAGCTAATCAATTAAAAATAATGAAATGATAAGATTACTATTTTGCAAACCCCTAATGCAATGTCAAATCCAGGCAATGATCATCAATGAACACTAAAATCACACAAAGGAAGATAACCAGAATATATGCTTTGTGATGGAACACCAAATACAACTAATGAAATGTTGTTTATTTAATAAAATGTATGTTTAACTAATAAAATGTATGTTTAAAAAAGAAAGGAAGGAAGAAAGCAATCATACCAAGCTCTGTTATCTAGCTACCAGATTTAAGGATAAAAAGAGAAAAAGAGCATGTTAAATAATACCAAGAAGATACAGTTAATTAGAAAAAATAGACAAGAAAATACAGGACAAAAGAACTGAGTTTCTTTAGCAAATCAATGTAAAAAAATAAAAAGAGAGAGAGAGGTAAAGTATAAATTAAGATACTTCAGAAACAGATCAACCAAATATAACCCATGAATCTTGTTTAAATATAGAACAAATAAATCACTATACCAAAATCAACTAAGAGACAACTGGGGAAATTTTTAAAGTGACTAGCTATTTGATGTTGAGGACATAAGGTTACTCTCTTATTTACAATTTGAAATAATGTAGTGAGGAGCAGCAAATGTGTGGGCGTAAGGAAAAAACACAATTGACCTTTCTTGAATGATTAGCTGGGTGGTGGATATATGAGGATAGACTTTACTACTCTCTCCTTTTGCATATATTTAAAATTTTCCATAATAAAATGTTGGGTTTTAAAAAGAAATATTTCTATATAATAGCTAAAAATAATTTATAAAAGTTAGTGGTCTCATAACTTTAATATGGAATCAATT